GGGGGGGGGCGGACTCCGCTAATGCTGCACGAAGATGTGGGTGGCAAGCTTGGGGGTGTACCATATCTACCTACGACTGCAGCAACAGCCGCCCTCAGCGCAAAATCAACAAGTTGCGTTCCTGGCACGTCAATCCACCAAACTCGTGCTGAACACGTGGGCAAGTATCGCCCCTGGTGCTGACTAACATCATTCATGCGCGCCTCGTACGCATTCCCATGATGCCTACATACATAAATGTTGCAGTTGGAAGGCGAGGCGACGATGAAATTCGTCACGTCCGCCTACAAGAAGAAGCTCATGGAGCAGAAGAAGTGGGAGCTCCAGCAGCAGCTGGAGGACGAGAGGGAGCAGCGGAACGACGTCACCAAGACGGGCATGGGCGGGTGCGTCAATTGTTTGTTTTTTCTCAGCAGCGGTAGCGTATTTAAGTAAAGCATGGTCTCGTCCTCTCGTTACTCCTGGGGCCGATAGAAAGACAGGATGACACTACCGCTGTAATATTGCTGTCTGTTCATTTTCAAATGGTTCCGTTGGAATTGCTGGACGGATCGGGCGCGACTTGGTTTGGACGCCTGGAATGATGACGGTGGGTCGTACCAGAGCCCGGCTGAAGGTCGCGTGGGGTGGCATGTCCACAACCGGTCGCGAGGGCTCCTTCCTGGTGTGTGCCTGTGATCAACGAACCCCATCACCCATACCCTTGTCACCGGTATGAAGCACACGCGGTCATCCAAACTCGAAGGATCCCCCCCCCCCCTTTTCTCGCATTCTGCTCGTTTTCTTGTTCCGTGGTGTACCATGGTACAGGTTTTACTCGAACCTCATCACCAAGAACATCGCCATGGGCGGCGACGTCGAGAAGTCCGCCAATAGCGCCTTCACCGCGGGTTCCAAGCGGCACGCTGCCACGGACGAATACGAAATGCAGGACGGAAACGAACAGGCAGCAGCAACAGCCAAAAGAAAAGGGGCCGCCGCCGCCGCAGCCGCCGCCAGCGAAGGGGGCCCCGCGAACGGCGCCAGCCAGGTGGGTAGGGATGGGGGCGAAGCAGACAGCAGTCCGGGGAGAACCGACGAGTCCGGCGGCCCCACGGCTAGGATGGTCGACCCCCACGCCGGAGAACAGAAGAAAAGCACAAGAGACGAAGCGGGGGTGCGAGATTCTGAGCGGAGCGGCCGACGACGAGACGATTCAGGTGAGGCCGTGGACAACGTGGCGAAGCGGGCTCGCCTTGCGGGAGAGGCGTCGGATGGCGGGGTAGAGCAGCGGCAGGATGAGAGAACAGCCGAGGAGAAAAGCGCGGCGGAGGCCGCGGACAAGGCACGGGAGGCCGCGGCCGCGAAGGCGAAGAAGGAGGCGGCCGTCAGGGCGGCTCGGGAGCGATTCCTTGCGAGAAAGAAGGCCGCATGAAGGAACACGACAAAACAACAATGCGGCGACTGCTGTGCTTGGTAGCAGGAGCTGTGGAAGTGATTGTAAATATGCCCGTTGTGTCGCAGAGGGTATCGTAGCATGGCTGGAGACGTATAGTGATCAAAATTCGTTCCCGTCTGCAGTGATTTTGTCGTACTCCTGCCGCTGGCTGAGCGTATGTTGGCCTCGAATGAGGGCCTGTTGGGCTTTTCGGCCGAAATACGCGCGTCTCCCGGCATTCAGGTAGCAAATTTAAACCAACGTGTACCGTATTATTGTTCACCTCATCACCAAGCCTGGCATGATGCGGTGAAGACACGCTTGATGTTCACCTCTTGTCCTCCTGGTTGGTGCGGATGGCGCATGGGCGAACTACCTCGATTGACTCATAAGATCAAGGGTACAACTCATAACGGATGGTTTACGCTCCGTAGTTTATGATAACGATTAAAAAACTTGTCCTCGTGCACGGCAATATCTCCGACCGTTGTGACCGTTCACGTTATTCGAGCACCCCTGCAAAAATTTCGTTGTGGAAAGATGAGCCTCTTCGTTCTTTTATTTTCTGAATGAAGCGTCACGAGGAGGCACCTCTGTGTCGAAACACCAGTCAACCCACACAGCAAACAACGTCGACGGTCACGATCAAATCGACCACTACGACTGGGGGGTCTAATAGACCAAGCAAACCGCGTTTCTGCAAACCCGCCAATCACTACGGCTTCGCGAACCCGGCTAGGGCTTGCAGAAATCCCGTGCGACCAAAAATTAGACAACCCGGATGGAGAAACGCCGCATCGCCTACAGAAACGCACCCACTTTTGCAAGAGCGTCACCACTAGAAATCGTCCTCCTCCTCCTCCTCCTCCTCCTCCTCCTCCTCCTCCTCGGACGAGTCGGAAAAGTCTTGGGTGGTGTCGAGGTCGCCTTCGAACTCCTCGAGCATGCTCTCGGCCTCCTCGTCGAACTCTTTAACGTCCGCCAGCTCTTCGCTCTCTTCCCCGCTCGCGTATTCCCCTCCACGTCCCCCTTCCGCCGCCTGACTCTCCTCGGTCTCCGGATCGTCGCTATCCTCCTCGTCGGGCACGGGCTCCGCTCCCTTCCCTGCACCCTCCCCCCTGGCCGTTTTTCTCGCCACATCAGACGATGCCTTTCGGTCCGTCGCCGCCGCGGCTCGCTTCCCCGCTCCCTTGCCCGGCTTCCCCACGGCCTCCCCCTTCTTCGTGCCTTCGCTCGCCTCATCGAGGGTGGCGTCGCTGTCGTCGTCGTCTTCGTGGTCGTGGTCGTTGTCGTGCAACGGCACGTCCTGCCCGTACTCCTTGCCGGCCTTGGCGTACTCGGCTCGCAAGAAGGCGTTGTTCCTGAAGAGGTTCACCAGAGGCTTGGGAGCCTTCAGCAGGCCCTTGAGGGACAGAGTCTGGAAAGTAGGGGAAAACAAGTACAGTCACAACACAAACGGCAGCGTCCGTTCGTTGTGCGCATGTGAGAAAGAGGAGGTGGCGGAGGACATTCCGAACGAAACAGAATGGCAATGAACCGAGAAAGCTTGGAACAACAAGAGATAGACACGGAACTAGACTTTACCTCGTTGCTACACAGTTGCAGGAACTACTTGTACCTCGACAAACGTTTGCTCACAGCAGAAAAGTGGTGCCGGAAGAAAAATGAAAGCAAGCGTTGAGTAGACGGATGCTGGCAGCGAACAAGTGCGTCGGACAGGAAAATAACCCCTCCACCGACTTTCGTCACGCATACTGTAGGCTATACCTGCCATGCGTAGCCGATGAGGATCCCACTTAGGTCCACCCACGGGATAACGCCCTCCATCATAAGCGTCTGCGCCACGAAGAAGTACGGTAGCAGCTCCGTCGGCAGCTCGAACATGTCCAGCATGTTCACCTGGTGTGTCGGGTGCAAGGGACGTTCGGTTAGTGTCTCGAGGGCCACCGCAGCAGTTCTTTCCACCTACGCGTAGCGGGGCTTGGCGAGACAACAGCAACGGTCGACAATTGGGTAGCGTAGAAAAGGGTGCGGATGTCGGCCTAGTCCGTCTCAACATCCAAATGGTGGCCAGCCGAAAGCTCTACTCATCCCGTTGCAGAAACACCATGTGGGACCTTGGGCCACGATCAGCTTGCGGGGATAAAACAATTTGTAGTGTCGTCAGGAGGAACAACGACGCTGCAAAAAAGGCAACAACGCTACTCGAAAATTGATAAAGCTTAGCCCGCGCTGCAGCATGGCTTCACTAGACGTCGCCGTCGGCCCCTCCTTTACCCGAGTGCCCGCGAACTTGCGACTCCAGATCATCACCAGGAAACAGTTCATGCTGTGCCCCAGGGTGTAGCTCGAGTTCACATCGCCACCCGTCACCAACGTTAGCAGTAGCAGGCTGCCGTTTGAATCAGACGGGCAAGCGGGCGGCACAAAAGTGTGATTGAGGCCTTGAGCGGGCAGAAGTCGACTGCAAGCTCCGCGCGATACATGTGCAGACCTCAATCGCTAAAAACTGAAAGCTCTACTCTAAACAGAGGAATCCAGCAAGACCGTGTGAAGTCGAACCATCCCTGCCGGCAGACATGATGCCCTCACGCGTATACAGGTAGGTCCACACGAGTATGACGCGTTTGCGACGTCGCGACGCGTGTTAGACTAGAAAACTAGACTACGCAGTCTGTGGCAGCCTACGCAGTCAGCGGCAGCCAATCTTAACATCGCGCTCCACGGCACGGCACACAGACGTACGCTGTTTGTTTCGGCACGATTGTCGGTTCTGATACTGCTCGGTGCGGACGTCGACAGCTACAAGTGCCAAAACCGCGCCGAATACCGCGACGACAAAGATATTGCTGCTTCCAGGCGCGATTGTTCCACGGCAATGGCGGGTGTAGAAGACGCTCGAAACAGGTCGCGATGACACGAAAAAATACCGCTTGTATAGACATCGAACTAATTTGCTTCAAGATATGTGCCTCCACCAAGTTGCATGCGCGGGGCGGGCGTGAGGGCGGCACCCATGCTAGTTATTCAGCCTGGCTATACCGCTCTCTACCTGCTCATGCCGAAGGCTAGGAGCATGACAAACGTGTGGGGCTCCCGGTAGTGGAGCTTCTCGAGGTGGCTCATGTACGTCCACGCGAAGTGAGCGGTCAGCACGAAGTTCAGGCCCAGCGGCCCCAAGTTCAGGAACGGCGTGAACAGCCGCCACAGCTGCAGCTTGAAGATGGCCGGCCGCCAGTCGAGGAGCAGGAAGGTCGGCCATTGGTTCTCGTTCAACGCGGCTGCGGCCAAGGTGATGGCAACGCTGATCTGGAAAAGCGGGGCCCATTCGAACATGGCAAAAGACGTGACCGTCGTGGCTTGCTCGCCCTCGTGGCTGCGTGAACAATCTTAAAAGGAAGCCTGAGTTGAAGGTGGAGGAAGGATCTTTGGAGCAACAGCAACACTGCTTAGATCTAATGCGTATGAGAAATACCGCGTTTGAAGTTCGACGGGGTTCTGAAGGACTTCGGGTACGGCCCAGGTTGTGGACCTGCTTCTTCACTAGCCGCAGCTGAATCCAACTTGTACCGCTCGCCCTCGCCCATGTCACATCACCTATGTATGCCAAGTCGGGAGAAGCACTACGCAGCGTTTTGATGCTGCGCGCGTGGCGCTGTAGACAGACACAGTACCTGAAAATACGTCCGGGTGATAACGGGCGTCTTCTTCCAGTCCTGCTTCAGCCGGTCAACGAAGCTCGCCTCCCCGAAATCAGCCTCCTCCTCATCATCGTCATCGTAGTCTTCTTCACTATCCTCATCATCTGCCCCGCCTCGAAGCCCGCTTGCCTGGTCCCGAGATCCACAAGGGTCAGGCTCAAAGTGATTTTTTTCCGTAGCAACGGTATGTCTGGATGGCATATCCTCGGCGTGTGTTTGGGTGGCTACGAATCGTGAAAGTGTGTGCACACCAACACAGAGGTTTGAGAGTTGCTCAAACTACTGCTGGAGTCTACAAAATCACAAAATCTCTTGTAATCCCGTCACTCGAGACATGGCCGATTCATGGCCAGGGCAGCAGACACCCCTACCCAAGCATGAAACACATCGCTTGAGGCACGGCATGATCACAGCAGCATCCAATGTATACCGTTCACGCAACGCAGGATAGAAGTCAACTTACCGACTCCAGGTTCCGCGAGCGCGCGACACGTGTAGATGGTGTGACATCGCCATAGGAACTCTTTTCCAAGAAGCACGGCTACAAGGGGGTGGTCGTTGTTGGGATGTCGGCTACAGCAAACACAAACCAGATTTTGCCGAGCAAACTACCGCATCTTGGTGAGATGCAAGTGGGAAAAGGAGGATGTGAGAAAGCCAGCCACGACCTTGAGTACCAGATAAGATCAAGAGGATGTTCATGTTTCCCTGCTGTCGGCCCCCGATGAGAGCACCATGATCAAGGATAGCCCGGACCGCCCCTTGGCTTGTTCCGATTATACATTGAAGCATCCCACTTGACCCAACTGGTTTCCATACTACGTAGCCCTGACAGGCAGTCAACCAGAGCCACCCTGTGCCGCTGACATTGCTCGCGTGGTTGGTGACCGCCCGTCACCTGATCCACCAGCGGCGGTGGTACATTACTCCAGCGACGCACGCACCGGGAAGCTACCACATCCGTGTTCATCCCAAAGCCTTTACGTACCACTGTCAGTCCCCAAGCGCCCCTCCGACCGTTTCCGCTATGCGCCACGAGTGATGGTCGATCTCCACCCATTCGCAGAGTCGCGGTTTGCTGCTGCAAGCTCTCCTGCGGCGGTTGCTGCCGTTGTTCGCCATTCTCATGCCTGCCAGAGAAGCTGCTGCCAAGCGCTAACAACCGAGGAACGCGACCCGCCGCGGGCGTCAGGCCCAACGCCAACAAGACAACCGAGACAACACATGCAGGATGTCGAAGCACCATTGTGTGTGCAATTCGCCGAGAGCGCAGAGCGTTCCTGTACAGAGCAAGGAGCAGAGAACGGAGTAGCACCCCCTGGCAGGAGAGTGGCAATAGGACGAACGCGGAGCTCTCCGCCTTGTACCCAAAGATTCTGCGGAGCCCCTTAATTCGACCGCATCTCGGTCTCCCGCCCCGCCCTCGCGCCCTCGCAGATCCATCATCAGCGGCATCCAAAAGAATTCAGGGTAGTGAAGCGGTTGCGTATGTGTATGGTGTGGACTCGATGGAACTGAGACGGCGGAAACCGAGAGATGATGACACTGCCGCCGGCGATAGAACGGAGAGAACTGGAGCAGCCCAATCCGAGCGAGATTATGTCCATTATAGTCAACACAGGAACGACCAGGACGCCAGCTTTGCTGACCGTCCCGGCTCGGAGGCTGCTACTGCAGACGCGGTGGTCGGCGCAGCCGTGCGTGGGGGGTATCTTCTTATGTTACTAGCTTTCGTTCAGGTGAGTTGCTCTGATGCACGCACCGGGCTGCTCTATGCATTCGAATTGGCTACTGTGCGGAGTGCGGAGTAATCTGGGTTGTGATGGGCAGCGCATCCATCGAACCTACGCCCAGCTCTCCTGCAGCACGCCAGCTAGCTGGGCGGCGCTTTAAATTGAACCAATCTTCAACGCTCCATTCCTTATGCCGTGGCAACATATCGCTGCACATCCTTCCAAGCCCGTTCGAGTGCGTGCAAAGCGTTAGCACTTCACTTTTTGTAGGACCTCCCCCCACTGATTATAGAGTATTTCTGAGAGGTCAACCTCCCGGAAGCACACTCAAGAAGCCTTCTTCATAGCAGCCACCACCGCGTTCCAATCCCGTTCCCTTCTTTTCGCAGCGCGCGTCGACATTCGTCCTGAACGTCCTGCTTCAGCGAGCGATGCTCTCGGCGGCAACCTCCGACACTCGCCAGCCTCGCAACTCCGCCCTCGAAGAGTACGGAGCAGCGACAATCACCCTCGACTTGATCTCCTCAACGGCTCTTTTCCTCGCGAGAGAGCCGTTTCGAGTCGCCCTGGCGCGGTCGAAGGTGCCAATCGCTGACGAAAATACGTGGGTGGCGGGGGGCAACGAGGGTGCCGCCTCAACGGGGCAGCAGCTGACGGGGGAAAGGGAGCGGGCGCGGCGACGGCGGCGGCGGCGAGAGGCGTACCGTCGGCGCTTTGTCAACACCGCTTGGATATCCGCCCCGGTAGGGCTAGCGTTCGCGGGGCTCGTGCGGTTGGCGTACCCGTGGGTTATCCGCAACGACGACTTCCAAGGCGTTGAAGAGAACCGGCAGGTACCTTGTTGGATGAGTTCTCTTGGAGTCATTTCGTGGAACAACACGTCAACAGTGCGTGTGTCAACATTTTGCCTTGGTCAGCAAGCGGTGGAGCTCTGTCTCCCCGAAGCATCTGGTTTTGCTATCCAGGGCCTTCCCTGATGCAAAAGCGCTTATTCTACTGCGCATTAAATAGCCGCCGCAAACCGGCCATGCGACGTTTCGCCGTCCCTTCAGAGAGGATTACGCTTGATGGCTGGCCACGCCAAAGCGAGTTGCCGCCACATGGGTTTGTGCTTGCTGGGGGCTTCGGGCACTACTATTCGTCGTGCGGTGCCACAACTTGTACGGCATCCGCGTTTCCAGCGACAGTTATTGTCGATCTCTATACTTAGCACGCTATCTTGCCCTCGAAGGCGAGCCTCGGTGGCGTATTGTGTGCATGCGATCCGTTATTGTTTTTTAACGCTGTTGTTGAGGATTGTTTTCGCTGTTGTTATCATCGCGTTCAGAATATGCTCAATTCGATTGATTGCCCGGCCTGCTTGTCGCACCACCAACGAATCCTGACTGGAATCGCCCTTTGTTTTCTCGCCCTTCACAGGCTGCATCGCTTGTTTGTCTTGCCGCAGCCGTGGAGTTGATGTGCGAGCCACTGGCTCTAATCTTCCAATACCGACTGCTCGTCGACGTCCGAGGTATGCATGATAGGCAGCTTTCACGAGGTACAAACGTCCGACGATACACCAGCTACCTTGGCATTTGATCCTCTAGAAGCCGCTTCGATCTGCATCTTGTTAGTGATGCATGCGACGGCACTCGGAACAGTCCCGACCGCTTGTAACTGTTTCTCCCACATCAGCAAACGCTACATCCGGTACCCCATGCTGGTCCTGTCTACGGTACAAAATACTCTGTTCGTTAACTTGCAACGGTGACCGACGGTGTACCGTAAGGCTTGGCGATGTCAATTCCCTCCCTCTCTCCTCAAGGACGTACCTCACACTCCCACCTTTATTTTCTGTCAACCCCCCTCCCTCC